TTGCGTAAAACAAAAACTATTACTACTCCTTAGTACGTATACATATTCTCTTCGTCTCGTCTCGAAGTGTTAGCGACGCTGCGCGATTTCTGCGAGGATTAAACAGCACGGTGTTATAGTCGAGGATAGAATCAAAGGAGGAACTCGAATATTTTGCAAAAAGAAGAATAAATAAATAAATAAAATTGTTGGCTTTAATTTTAAAACAATATCGATACCCGTTCTCGATCGATTCGAATCGGATCTGGTTGGGATAGTGAATTTTTTTTTTTGTTTTTTTTTTTTTTTTTTTTTTTCCCATCGATTACGCAATGTGTCTACGAAACTTTTGTGTGCGTGTAGAGCGAATGTACAAAATCTACAAGCAAACCCGACAAAATTTCTGTTTTGGATCAACCCACCACCGGTAATACCCTGAATGGCATATTCTCGTAAACGTTTCTTTTTGATTCGCTTGTACGAAAGAGAGAGAGAGAGAGAGAGAGAGAGAGTGAGAGAGAGAGAGCAAGAGAGAGAGTGAGAGTGAGAAAGAGAGAGAAAGAGACATAGAAAGAGCGAAGATGGATGGTAAACAGGGGGAGGGAAGGGGGGGATGAAAAGTAGAAGAGAAGCGTGTAACTAAATTATCAGAGGGAACGGATATTTCGAGAATCTTTCGTTTGCGCATTTTTGATATATCTGTGAACAGATGAAGAAAAACAAAGATACTTATATTACATACATAAGGTGTAAGTGAACAAAAAAAAAAAAAATGCATCTAATACGCTATTATTGATATAGGACACAAAGTAAAGTAAATATATATGAGACAAAAAAAAAAAAGTATATATATACATAAATTGATATATTGACGCTATAAGGTTGCTGCTGGATGCGTTTTACGTTGAAGGAAGATGATGCAGTTTTCCGTTCAAACGTCGTCGAGGACGAAACAAAAGTTCACGGGGAGAATTAAGTTAGACAAAAGTAAGGATCTTAGAGTCGAAGACAAAGTAGCTCTTAGAATTTTTATCGAGGCAACATAAGGACGGACAGGCGTGACGCTAGTATACCACTTTCGAGGAATAAACCTATCCCATTTGTCCTCGTGGCCTGTACTTTACGTTTCGCTCGTATATCGATCCGTCTCGCTCGTGTTTCCCGCTCTTCTCGATCCATCTTCCCGATTTCTTTGCGAATCCGAGTGGAAAAATGTAACGCGGCCCGGCTAAGATGGATCGAAGGGGTGGAAAGTCTTGCGGAAGATCTTGCGATAGGATCACGAGAATGGGGAGGGGGAGGAAAAACGCGTGGAAAAGTTTGCGAGCGGGACGCGTCAGGCCACGAGGCAACGAACCACAACACTCGGCTGCAATTGCAAACGAAATTTTTAACATTCATTCTAATTCAAAAATACAGAATCTGAAATGTATTACGTGCACGCGCCGAATCTTTCCTTTATTTTCGCCTTAGCTTCGAGATGTAATTGTCTTATTATAATAATGATCGACCCGACATACGCGCCACACGTATACACGAGAAGTTGAGAGAGAGAGAGAGAAAGAGAGAGAGAGAGAGAGAGAGAGAGAGAGAGAGAGAGAGAGAGAG